TCTCTCTCTCTCTCTCTCTCTCTCTCTCTCTCTCTCTCTCTCTCTCTCTGTTCTTGAGACAGAGTCTTGCAGTGTAGTTCAGGCTGGCCTCAAACTTGTGATCCTTCTGCCTCAGACTCCCAAATGCTGGGATTACAGGGTGTGTACCACTACACTCAGCCAGAGCTGGTTCTTTCTGAGCCTTGGTTTCCTCCTGTGTAACATATGGGTTAGAAAATAAAACCAAGGTTATCTCACAGATAAGTAGGTATTTATTACTATCTGACATTATCATCAATATATTTGTTGAAGCATATATATATATATATATATATATATATATCTGTATCAGTCATTTCCTGGAATATAAGTTCCATGAGAATAAATGAAGTAGTAAGTAGCACGTGGCTGGTACTCAATAATTATTGTCATTGATTTACTGGTTAAAATACATATCTATCTTCATGAATCACAATTTTCCCGTATGTAAAGTATACACTTTAAATAACACTGTAATGTTTAATTTTCCTACCTTTATGCACTAAATGTAATGTGTACAGTTTTTTACATTGATAAGTAGAGAAATATGCTGTCCTATTTATAACAGGAAAAACAAAAAAGTCTGTTTATTGGTAAAGTTGGGGAAGAAGATACACTAATATAAGATTAAAGAATATATGTTAATATATTGCTAATATGGGAAGAAGTCTAAAATATATTGATTAGAAGTAGAAATAATTTTGTAAATAGTACGTAGAGCATGTACCACTTAGAAAATTAGATCTTTCTCCTTTGTATCTATGAAAAAACAAAGACATAAAGGCCAAGGAACCAGGACCCTGTTCCTCAAGAAGAAGGGAACTTAGGGCTATTGAGTGGAAGAATGGTACACATGCATTAGGTTGTAAGAACATTAATCTAGCAATCATATGTCTAATTCCTCCCCTAGACATGATCAGAGTGCTGCTGGAAAAATGTCGTTCCTCCCCAAGGACATTCTGGGGTTCACTGACCACATAAAAGTCTGTCCATTGTGAGAGCACAGTGTTCGGTGGTAGGGGAAGCTGTAGGCTAGCAATTCCATCTACTAGAAGTACTGGGCTGTTGAAATGGAACTGGATGTGTAAGTTATCTCAGTAGTTTTCAACAAATGCTAATTAAGTTTATTTAGGAAAAAAAAATCTCCTCTAAACATTTATCAGCAATGAGAATGGTTTTAAGTCCTTGAAGTAACAATTCAATATCAAATTGGTGGAAATGATAGAAGAAGAAATCTCTCTAAGAGGCCAGTGAGACAGCTTAGCAGAGACAACTCAGCAGTTTAAGTGTCTGCTTAGGCAAGTGCAGGAACTGGATTCCATCTCTGGAACGACATTTGCTGGTCCCACCCCCGGGCATGCTGAGCAGGCCACTGAGACTGAGTGTGGTGGCATATATCTGTAATCTCAGCACTGGGGAGGCTGAAAACAGGAGGAGCACTACAAATCTAAGCTGTGCAGTGAGACCCTGTACCAAATACATAAAAAAAAAGAAAAAAATCCCTGTAAGTCACTTCTGAATTATAAATACTGGACTTAACTATGTTTTTGTAGTCATACTGCTCAAAAGCTGAGGAATCTCAGTAATATATTCTACCTTCTGTACCTGAAGTATACAAAGCCAGTATACTTGTGATAGTAACTTAAAACTAATAGTGAAGATAAAAAAGACTTTGCCAAGTATATCCGTACAAAACATGAAAGTAATTACAAAGGAACAGTTTAGCATAAAGTGGTATTCTCCAAACTGAGTTCACAGAATTTCAATAAGAATAATGTTCAAAATAGGAAGAATTCTGGAGAGAGAGTTTTAAAAAGCTTATGCTAGCCCTGAAAAGACTAGATGTAGTGTGGGGGAAAAAAAGGGGGGGGGAAGGTATAGGGGTGTGCCTTCCAGTTGTCCCTAATTTTAAAGTACAGTGAGCCTGTAAGAAAGAGGAAACTGGACTGGTTGATTTGTAGGGTTCTTTATTAAACTTAGGAATTTGCAGGATTCTATAAGTAATTACAAAGATGGTATTCTCCAAATTGAATTCTAAAGGACATCATTTTACTCAGGACGAAGAAGAGCTACAATGGGAAGGTAGCTTCACAGCAATTTTGTTGTTGTTGTTGTTGTTGTTGTTGTTTTGGTTTGGGTTTTTTGGTGGAACCGGGGATTGAACTCAGGCCCTTGCGCTTGCCAGGCAAGCACTTATTCTACTGAGCTATCTCCCCAGTCCCCGACAGCAATTGTATTTACTTAACGTGAAAAATAAGCCCAAGTAAGGTTGGGCATCATGGCTCGTGTTCAAGTCCCAGCTACTTGGAAGGTCGAGGCAAAGGATCACTTAAGCCTCAGAGTTCATGGCCAGCATGAGCAATATACTGTCTCAAAGGAAAACAAAAACAGAAAACAGAAGCCCAAGTATAATAAGAGGCTAGAGGATAAGAAAGAAGAAGAGTAGTGCAGGAAGGAGTGAAAACCCACTATCCATTTAAAAATGAGTAAGGCCCAAAACAAAGCAATAATAAACTTGTAGCTAAGCAGGGCTTTAAAATTCAAGGTGACAAAGATGCCAGTATCTAAAGAGAGAGATGACAGTTGCTAGAGGAATTGCCAATGCAAGAGAAAACAGCAAGAAGAGGGTCACTGTGCTAGCCAGCACAGGCACAAACTGATCATTAACCAGAGACGCAGGTAAAGAAGCAGAAGAGTGCATACGAGCAAGAGAAACAGCAAAAAGAAGCAAGCAGCAGGACAACAGCTGTGTACTGTCTGATATCAGCAGAGGGTCAATGACTACAGGTAGAGGAAGCTATTCAAAAGTCATCTTTTGGCATATAGAAAGCTGAGCATGGTTGCTAGGAAAGGGTATCATTTTACTCAGGACAAAGGAGCGATACAATGGGAAAGTAGCAAGAGTAGAGACTTTGCTTAGATAATAAGAAAAGATGCATAGGGGCAATAAGTTTAGTTTATAGATATTTTACAATTTTTATTATATAGGTTTCATTTACCTTAACTGAAACTTATAATAATGTAAATACATTTGAGAAAGTCTTCTCTATGGGTAGTTTTAGATGATTTTAAAATTTCAGGAGGTCCGGTGAGTGTGTGGAGAGCTTCCTGCTACCCTGCGCCGGCGGGACCAGTCCCGGCCCAGGCGCAGTGTGGGCCGGACCCTCTCCCACCCCCTCGGGCTGCCCCCCACCACTCCGCCATACCTCCCCACCCCTCCGTCCGAGTAGGAATTTCTGCCGACTTCCGGGAACCCCAGACCCAGTCCTAGCCCAGGTCCACAGCGGGAAGGAGCTGAGCACAGCAGCCAGACCTAAGCCAGACGCAGCGGGATAACTCCAAACTCTGTAGAGCTCCAACTTCAGTACGTGTGAAGGTTATAACTACAGCAAAGATCTACACAAAGGGCAGAAGACAGTGCTACACAAAATGACGAGAAGGAACAAAATACAACCTCAGAACCCAAGCCCACCCGTAACAAGTGCAGAGGACACTAACAC